ATTTATATGTGACAGTGCTTACCTCCTTGCACACAGACCAGAGAACAGGTGTGGGGGACAGCCCAGGCAGGAATAGGCCTGAGCCTGCACTTATTTGTTTAGCGTAGGTGCTTATCTCCTCATACCTCGCTTATCTCCTCATACCTCATACCATCCTTAAAAGATCTGGCAGCACTCCAGTATGCTGGGTTAGAATCACTGCAGGTAGAAGACGAACCAAGGATTTCCAAAGATAAAGCATGAACCAGTAGATTTGAGCACAGTGGCTAGGATTGTAACTTTTTTCATGGCCACCATATTCATTAATATTAAACATGAATACCTACAGCTAAAACCATGAGGATGTACACCTTGAGATAAATAACCATCCTCTGAAGGTGCAACAGGCTTATATCTACTTTGTGCTATGCACAGATGGGGACACATGAACAGTAACCACTAGTTTACATATACACATCCCTTATACAAAAATACCATAATAAGTGGCCTGGGGCTCATTCTAGCACAATTCCCTCTCTACTTTTCCCTCCACTTCTGTTTCAAAACACTCATCTCCTTTTTCCTGCTGTGACTTGAGTGGAAGTTTTATTTAAACCTAATAGTTCAGTGCCAGAAACTTTTACTTGCTATTGAGAGCGAGATGCAGGAAGGAGTAAAACTCACAAAGGCAGTTGCCATATTCCTATCACATCATATCCAATTATTTCACAAAGGGCACAATCCAAAACAAAATCCTGTTGACTTCTAGTTTGGTGCATCAGGACTCAAGCCCTTAAAATCCCCCACCTAATTTCCTTGCTGTCTTTACTTGAAATTTCACCTTATTTATATGGGTTATAAGAAAACATAAGTTGTCTCTGAAAGAGCCATAGTATATTATAGGTGTACACTATAGTATAATACAAAAAAGTGAATTTCAACAGGATCAGGGCAAGTGCTGTGGGACCAGAGACTGAAGGTGAAAGGAGTGCATGAAGAGTGGTCGTTTGTCAAGGACACAATCCTCAAAGCACAAAAGAAGTCCATTCCCATGCAATTGAAAGGTAGCAGATGGGCTGGGAAGCCCTCTTGGTTTAAAAGGGAAATCATGGTCCTCTTGAATAAGTAGTAAGAGGCATACAAACAATGGAAGCTTGGGACAGTTCCCTAGGAGGACAACCCACACTTGTTGGGAGCAAATTAGAAAGGCTAAGGCAGCGACTAAATTTAAACTAGCAACAAAAATCAAGGACAAGAAGTCCTTCTTTAGGTATGTAGGGAACAGGAGCAAAACAAATGAAGTGTGGGACCATTGTTTAAAACTCAGGACAGCTGGTTACTGACGCTCAGGAGAAAGCTGAACTCCTGAATGACTACTTTGCTTTGGTATTTCACTAGACTAAGGGGAAAATCATAGTAGATAGGTTTAGAATGGGCTTAGTGGGAATGACCGCCTTCCTACTGTTGACATTGAGCTGGTGCGTGATCAGTTAGAAAAGTTATTTATAAGTCAGCAGAACCAGATGAAATTTATCTAAGAGTGCTGAATGAGCTGGCTGAAGTCATCATGGGAACTCTGGCGAAACTCTTTCAAAGCTCGTGGCACTTGGGGAAGGTCCCTGAAGGATGGAAGAAGGCCAACACTGTGCCCATTTTCAAGAAGGGGAGGAGAGAGGACACTGGCAACTATAGGCCAATTAGCCTAACCTCTAGCCCAGGGAAAATCCTGGAAAAATTCTTCAAGGAGTCTGTATGATACACTTGCAGAAAGTAAGATTCTGAATGACAGCCAGCATGGCTTCATCACGGGCAGGTCTTGCCTTCCAGTCTCATCTCCTTCTATGACCAGGTAACTTGCCACCTGGATAAGAGAGAGGAGGTCAACATTATATATGTAGACTTCCAAAAGGCCTTTGATCTGGTATCCCATGAAATTTTTGTGGGAAAATTGGAGGATTGTGAGCTTAACTGCTAGACAGTCAGGTGAGTAGGAAGCTGGCTATGGGGTAGGACCCAGAAGAAGTGGCCAGTGGTGCCCCTCAGGGGTCTGTGCTTTGTCCAGTTCTTTTCAACATCTTTATCAATGATTTGGGTGCGGGGGAGAAGAGTTCACTGGCCAAGTTCACGGACGACACCAAATTATTGGAGAGTGTGGTCATGCTTGAAAATAGGCTGCAGATATATGTGGACCTCAACAGGCTGGCAAGTTGGGTGGATTGGAACCAAATGAAGTTCAACATTGAGAAGTGTAAGGTGCTCCATCTGGGAATGAATAATCTGCAAAATACAGGCTTGGTGGCACCAAACTGACTATCACCATGACTGAAAGGGACCTATGGGTAATAATAAATTATAGTATGAACATGAGCCATCAATGTGATGCTGTAGCTAGCAGGGCAAGCAATAATCTGGCATGCTTCAACTGATGCATCTCAAGCAAGGAAGTGATTCTTCTGCTTTACTCAGCACTAGTGAGACTGCAGCTGGAGGACTGCATCCAGTTCTGGGCACCACACTTCAGCAACAATGTGGAAAAGCTTGAGAGAGTCCAGAGAACAGCCACCTATATGATCAGAGACTTGCAAAGCAAGCCATACGAGGAAAGGCTGAGGGACTTGGGTCTCTTCAGCCTAAAAAAGAGAAGGCTGAGAGGAGACTTGGTAGCAGCTTACCACTATTTCAGGAGAATACATCAGGGCTTGGTGAACAACTGTTCACCAGGGTGCCCTTGGGGAAAACCAGGAATAATGGCCACAAACTCGTGGAAGACCATTTCGGGCTTATCACTAGGAAAAACTTCTTCACGGTCAGGGTGTCCAGACTGTAGAATAAGCTCCCTCTAGAGGTGGTGCAATCACCTACCCTGGAAATCTTCAAGAGAAGATTGGATGGTCACCTCACTGGGGTCACCTGACCCTAGTTATTTTTCCTGCCTAGTGTAGTGGACATAAAATGCCAACAACGTTTTCTGAAGCTAACTGGTTGTAATTTACATCTCTATCATTTAGATCTATGGCAAACGACAGCATATGAAAATGCAGTTTAGCAATTACAACATTAGTCAAGTATAAATGCAGTATTAAAATATTTTATAAATGTAAATGAGATGCTGTTAATCCTACCTCAATAGAGGGACTAGTTTAATTCCAGATATCTTTCTTATGACATTTAAAATCTATTGATTGGCCACATCTGCTACAGAGTCTAAAATCAATAGAAATCTGTAGGAGGGGAAGCAGTGGCTATACTGCCAGTCTTTCCCAATGTGAATTGTTTCCTGCAGGTACAAGCAATTATTTTGGCTTGGGGAGGTGCAAAAAGACTCACCAGTGAATCATAGGAGTATTTACAAAAGAAAACTAAACACATAAGCAGACTTCCATGCAGCCCAAATTCCAAGTTCAGTAGGTATTGGAGAGGTAGGTATTGTCATAACCCAATTAAACAGTGCCCATGCCACAAGCAAGAGATACTATTCAAAGCAGTCTCATTTCTGCACTAGGTTAACTAAGGGTTAACAAAATGATAGTAACAGCCTTCTTTGCTCTGCGTGTCAGCGAAAAGAGATTTATAACTGCGCCACTAACAGAAATGAAACTTTAACCTTCTGTGCTTTACATAAATCATTATAATTGGTCAGAGTAATACAGGGAGTAGCCCTAAAATAACACCCTAGCGAAACCACTATATAATTGGCGATTCTAATTACATTTATGACGTGGCGAAAACCAATTGGCTATTACACAAATAAAACCCGTTTTTACTTCCGCAAAGTGGGAGACCTCCGTACACACGTTGGAGACCTCTGAACATACGTGTCAGAGTAATTAGACAATTTGATCACTTGTCTAAGTTCTCCCGTCTTCGACCCAATCTCAGACGTAAATCAACGACTGCCGGCCCAACCATTTCTGCCCGAACACTTATGCAGACCGACCTAACGAACTCTAAGCTGTAACTAACCAGGTATCTGACCTCCGTCATTCACCACCTTGATGGCGTAAGTAAACAATCTTGCTTTTCAACTGATAAGCGTCTGTGCCTAATTCCACTCCAAGCTTCACAAGTACCTGCCTGACGGGCCCCTTAAGGCCTTGAACCCCTCGCTGCAGTGCACGGCAGCGATAGGTATCATCTCATAGGCAAAGTAAGGAGCAATTTAAGAAAACTGTCTGAAAGGGTATGTCTTACTTGCCATTTTCTGCATTGTTAGATCTTCCCTCTGTTCCAGATTTTTTACCCTAAACCCTGTCCTGGATTTAAGTGACTTGTCCCTTTCTTTTAACCTCGTCAGTGGCCATTTTTTTTTCTTTCAAAATATAGCTGACAGGAGATATTCTGTACAACAAAGTAGCTAATTGATTAAAGAACTTGCTCACATGGGTTGAACTCCTTCTTTTGTTGGAGGAGTTTTCAATCCAGAAACCTCCCTATAGAATACCCTAGCAGCTATCCAATATGCTTTTCTGGACAGTGGGGAGACAGACTTACAACAGCTCCTGTTTAAAGGTGTTTCGATATGCATAAAACAATTAGAGAATAATTTTGTCCAAGCAACAAAAGTGAGAATGATCATAATCTGGCCCTCATCTGGGAAATAGAAAACTTGGTTATATGACAAAGGGTGTTTAATGTAAATAGTGATTGGAGCAGGGACTGAATTCAGGGTTTTTCTTCCCAAATCCCAAAATTGATAACATAAATTTCCCCAAAAGCCTTTATCAGCTGGTTACAGAGTCATATTCACTCTCTGCATGGTGCAATGAATCTATTTTTAACTGAAAAATGGATTAGCTTCAACAGGAATTTTTGAAATGCACTCAGCCCTAAGTTAGCTTATAGCCTGTAGCAGGGCACTATGGTGCCTGCTACTGAGAAAGCTGGGAAGACTCCTCAGGTGCCAGTTGCTGAGGCAACTAGAGGGAGCTAATGATCAGCACCTGCCTGGCCAGCTGACAAGAAGGGGCAGGGCCTGGCTCCTATATAAACCACAGGCAGGAGGCCAGGTGGCAGTTCTCTGCCAGCAGCCAGAGAGGAAGGAGCTCCCCGAGCAATGATGCGAGAACCTCAGGTACAGCCCAAGCTGGGTAAAGGATGATGGCTATAAGCCAGGCGGCTTTAAGTTATGTTATAGCCTAGGGGCTTGTGTTTTGTTATGTTGTTTATGACCAGAGGTTTGGGTGAGGCTATCAGGGGATGGAGGAGGTCTCATAGGGGACTCACACTAGTGTGGGGACCCCAGCGCCGGTGAGAGCGCAGTATTCAGGGTGTATAGACCCCAGCCCCAGAGAGGGGCAGCTGAGAAGCCCCAGAGAAGGGGGCGTTGTGGAGAAGCCCCAGTGCGGGCGTGATGAGCCCCGGAGGAGGGGGCAGCAGTGTGGTGAGCCCCGGAGAAGGGGGGCAGCATTACTGAGGAGCCCCGAGAGAGGGCGGCATGGTAGAAGAGCTGAGAGAGGGTGGCATGGTAGAAAAGCCCCAGAGAAGGGCGGCGTTACAGAGAAGACCCTGAGACTGGGCGGCACTACAGAGAGGGCCCGAGGGAAGAGTGGCATTACAGAGAGGGCTCTGAGAGAGGGCATGGAAGGAAGGAGACCGAGAGAGACTGAACGTCTATTCCATCTGCGAGGCTCGGGGCATGGTATTGGGGTGGTAGGAGTCACGCATAGCCCATGAGGCTTAGGTATGGGGTCAGAACCTCATAGGAGAGACCCCCAACATACACAAATAGATCAGTAGTCTCCTGCTCGCATACTAATAACTTCAAGACGCGGCAGGAGATTCATAGATTCATAGATGTTAGGGTCGGAAGGAGAGATTAGAGCGGGACAGCAGAGGTCCAAGAGGGCTCCAAGGGTGCCCCGTGTAAGGCACAGATGATCCAGAAGGTGCCGCTGGGGAGGGTGACCTGTCACACAGCCTCATGGTAAGGGTTTGAAACTTCTCCAGCACAAAAGAACAGTGAACTCACCTCTGCTTCCTGGGGGAATCCTCTAACAAATGCAAGATGGAAGCACCACCAATTGCAAAGTCTTTGTTACTGGAAGGAAGTGGGCACTATTGCAACATTAAATTATGTGGGTCCCAATCATTAGGTATCCTCTGGGGAGTGTTATCAAATCAAAATCTACAGGTGAAATCAGGTGTAGGAATTGAGACTTAGACAGGAGCTACGTCCCCTGGCTATTTCACAGGGCTGAACCTGAGGTGATTTGAGGTGCTCCTACAAGCAGAACTTTTACTGGAGGAAGGTGCCTGAGGACTTCAGGAGCTTCCAGAAGATGTGAAGATCACAACTTCTGTTATATCAGGGGTGGGCAAAATGGTGGATCCAGCTGGCATCTGGACTCCATTTCCCAGCAGCCTCTGCCCCCCGTGGCTGAGGCCAGTTTCTGGACTGTGATAGTGTGGGGTCAGAGTTTCATACATTTCAGAGATTTCATAGACATTTGGGCTGGAAGGGACCCTGGTGGATCATCAAGTCCAGCCCCCTGCCCCAGGGGCAGGAAGTCAGCAGGGATCATAGGATCCCAGCAAGCTAAACATCCAAATGTGTCTTGAAGGTGTTCAAAGTGAGTGCTTGAACTGCCTCTGGTGACAGTCTATTCCAACCCTGGGGGGCTCGGACAGTAAAGAAGTTCTTCCTTATATCCAGCCTAAATCGGTCATGGAGTTTGTGACTGTTTGATCTTATCATCCCTTGAGGTGCTCTGGTGAACAGATGTTCCCCCAGATCCTGGTGATCACCCCTGATAAACTCATAGGTGACTACCAGATCACCCCTGAGCCTGCGCTTTTCTAGGCTGAAGAGTCCCATGGCTCTCAGCCTTTCATCATAAGGTCTGTTTTCCTGACCTCTGATCATGCACGTGTCTCTCCTCTGCACTCTCTCGAGCTTCTCCACATCCTTTTTGAATTGTGGAGCCCCAAACTGGATGCAGTACTCCAGCTGCGGCCTCACCAAGGCTGAGTACAATGGGAGAATGATGTCCTGTGATTTGCTTGAGAAGCATCTATAGATGCAAGCCAGTGTTTTGCTTGCTTTATTAGCCACAGCATCACATTGAAGACTCATGTTCATCTTGTGGTCAATCATGACTCCGAAGTCCCTTTCATCTGTAGTGCTAAGCAGTGTAGCACTGCTGAGCCTATAAGGATGCTGCAGGTTTTTCCTCCCAAGGTGGAGAACCTTGCATTTTTCAGTGTTAAACACCATCCGGTTCTCATATGCCCATTTCATGAGCCTGTCCAGATCTGTCTGGATCACCCTCCTGTCCTCAGGTGTGGATGCTTTACCCCAGAGTTTGGTGTCGTCAGCGAACTTGGCCAGTCCGCTTCTAATACCAATGTCTACATCATTGATGGACATGTTGAAAAGTATAGGCCCTGGGACAGAGCCTTGAGGGACACCACTAGTCACAGCACACCACAATGATTGACTTCCATCAACCACCACCCTCTGGGTCCTACCGTGGAGCCAATTCCACAGCCAGCAGATCATGGTGAGGTTGAGGCCGCAGTTAGCCAGTATTGCTAAGAGGTGATCATGGGACAACAGCTCGAAGGCTTTTTTAAAGTCAAGATATATGACATCAATCTCTTCCCCCTTGTCCAGGTGATAGGTCACCTGGTTGTAAAAGGAAATGAGATTGGTCAAGCAAGACCAATCTACCCACAACAAACCCATGCTGGCTCTCTCAGGATGTTGGCATCGGCAAGTCCATTAGACTTTGCTTGTGCATCCAGGATTGCTCCTTTGAGGAGCAACCACTCATCCTGAACTCCCCTCCCCTTTGGGTTGTGGCCCTTTAGGGCCTCACTGACAAGCCTCCTGAGCTTATCAAAGTCAGCTTTCCTGAAGTCGAGGACTTCTGTTTTACTGACTGACTTGCCAGCTTTATTTTGGATGGTAAAGGTGATCAGCTCGTGGTCACTGTCAATCAGCTTCCCTTCGATCATTAGGTCACTGATTAGGTCATCCCCAGGTGCCAGAACCAGGTCTAACAGTGCTTTACCTCGTATCGGCCTGTAGACTTCCTACGTCAGGTAGAGGTCATCCACGCATGAGAGAAAGCTTTGCGACTGCTCAGATTTGGCTGAGCACTCCTCCCACAAGATGTCTGGGTAATTAAAGTCTCCCATGACAACCATACACCAGGAGCGCTCAGCCTCAGCCAATTCCCTGGCAAACTCCTGCTTAAGGCCTTGACCCTGGGTAGGGTGTCTGTAGTGGACTCCCACAATAGTATCCCCTGTGCCATGTTCCCCATGGATTTTAACCCAGAGGGTCTCAAGTTGTCCACCCTGGGTGCCAATGTCAGCTTGCAGGGATGCAAGCTTGACAGAGAGAGCTACACCCCCGCCCCTTTTGTCCACTTGATCTTTCCTGTACAGGGTATAGTCATCTACACCTGTGGTCCAGTCATGGGTGGAGTCCCACCAGGTATCTGTTATCCCTCTGACATCATAGTTATTTGCACTTAGCAAGAGGACCAGTTCCTCCTGTTTATTCCCCAATCTCCTGGCATTTGTGTATAGGCACATAAGTGTCCCCTTGGGGGCCCTTGCCTTGCCCATAGTTCATTCCAGGGCTGGGGCAGGGGTGGGCTCCCTTAAGTGCCTTGGCTTGCTGGCTTTGCAAGGATTGCTCAGTGGGCCAGCAGTGGCGGTAGTCCCCCCACCTCCCGGTGGGCTTAGTGTAAAGTCCGGTGGAGCAGGTCAGCCAGTCTGGCTGAGAAGAGCCTCCTCCCCAGCAGAAAGGTGGAGGCCATCACTACATCTCTCTTCGAAGACTGTGGTCATGGAAGCCAAAGCCTTCCCTATGACACCAGCACTGCAGTCTTTGGTTCACTACCTGGACCCTCCTCTCCCTCCTTAGCCCATAGCCTGAGGCTGTCAGGATTGATGAGAACACCACCTGTACCCCCAACCACTTAAGCCCTGCTCCCAGATCCTTGTAGTGCTTTATGACCCAGCTGGGAGAGCTCAGAGCTGTGTTATTTGTGCTCACATGGATGAGGACCATAGGGTAGTGGTTAGTGGGCTGGAGGAGTTCAGGGATCTTCTCTGCAATGCCTCAGATATGGGCTTCTGGGAAGCAACAGGCTAAGGGGTCAGGGTGGTAGATTGCCCCCTTAGTCCCCCTCAGGATGGAGTCTTCCATGACAAACACTTTGTGTTTTGTCTTAGGGAGAGTGGGATCGGTAGCTCTAGTTGAGCCTGTGTTGCCTGCAGGAGCTGGCAACTTAGCAGGCTCTGCTGGGGCTGCAAGAGGTTCATACCTGTTGCAAAGCTCCAGTGGTGGGAGGGCATTGGTGCAGCAGGCCTTGGAGCCCTTGACCAGCTTGGTGCAACCCCTGGGCTGGACAGCATGGGAGGTTCTCGAGTCCTCCCCAGTCCTGGAAGGCAACCGTGGTCGACCCTCCACCTCCTGAGGGAGAAGGGCCTGGCAATAGGAGTCTATCTCTTGCTCACAGTTCCTGATAGCATGTAGTCTCTGGACTGCAGCCTGAATCTCCTCCAGCTGGTGAGCCAAGGACCCCAAAAGGGAGCAGACCTCACAGGGGAAGGTGGCCATGCTCCCGGACCCCAGAGCCCAAAAAAGTCACAGGCAGCCCCAGAAGTCGAGAGCCAGAGGCTCCATCTGTGCAGAGCCCAGAACCATGGGCTCCATCTGGGTGAAGGTCTCTGAAGTGCCGGGGGGAGGGTGCAGACCCCGAGGGGACCCGAGGGGGGTAGCGCGTGCTCATCCATGGCATGACACTAGTAAGCCAGCTGCAGCTCGGACTGTCTACCCTGGGGGGCTCACAGGTAGGACCGCGGGTCCTCCTGCACACGCTCCTGTGCAAACTCCTATGCTAACCTGTGCGCCGGGCCCAGGAGAGCGCCTGTTTGCACGGCCTGTTTGTGTGGCTCCCTGTGGGGCTGGGCCAAGTAGGAGCTGGGGGCGCATGACCCTCCTTGGCCCCACTCATCCCACTCCCAGCTGTTTAGTTCCCTCCCTTCCTGGGGCCCTGCTTACCTGCGGGCAGGCCAGGGTTCATTGGGGGTCCTGGGGTCTCTGCTAGGGTCCCT